TTGATATTGTGAGTGCACACAAATAAAGGTAGACCCTTTACAGTTCCGAGTGATGTATTACTCTTACCTTTACGAGCAAAAATGACGGCATATTTTAAGTTGTTTCCAATGCAAGTGATCGCTAACATTGTGATATGCTTGAACTGTTTTATCTATAGATTTTATTTTAGGCAAGTCGTGATGATTTGAGAAGGCTAAATTGTCTGCCGCTGGCCGCTTGGTCGTTACTTTAAAAAAACTCAAACTTACATTTAACGAACAAAAAAATGCTCCAAACGTTTTTCTAAATTAACTTCATAAAGAAAACGAAACGAAATATAATCACTTTGACATTACATACAAAACCGAACTATTTTAATATAGCTGAAACAGTAGTATAAGCTGTTTTGGGAGAAGGGGGGAAAAAGACGGGCTCGGGCCAAGAATTCTGATGAGCTGTCGGACCCGGGCCGGGCCGGGCTAGAGCCTATATTTGAGGCCCGTGCAGGGCTCTACATGGAATCCTCACAGTAAACGACAGCGCACACTGCGTGACATATTGTATCCCACAATGCAATGCAATGTGACAAAAGGTGCTGTAAGGCACTTCTGCTCAACTGAGTTAGAGCTCAGAAACCCACTGCAGAATGACTGAGAGGTACAGACCGTTTCTGATTGGCTGCTGCTCGGTCTAATTCTAGAGTCACAGATAGAGATGTGATTTCTCACCTAATAAAATCAAACCACAAGATACAAGCGCATGCATTATCAGGATGATAACTGGAGGATTTAAACATGCAGCACAATGAGGTCATGTGACGCAAGCAGCACACTACTGATTCAAATTGCTGTATTGTTATGCTGCGTCATGTACTGAAAAGCAGGCAAACTAAATCACTGCATTCATTCATCACTCATAACATCAGAACAGACGCGAGAGCGGTCTGCCGTGCAGCGAAGGGTTAACGCTCAGCGTAAAATCACTGTATGTTCATAAAAGATCCGTTTCAAAGCCGCGCGGCTGGGATCCTTTTGTGATAAATCCAACGCCTTTAATTGCCTTTAATTTATTAGTGTGTTCCAACCTCAGGCTCATTAAACAGAAACATATTGGTCTGCGACTACGGGAGTTTAACAAGTACAGAACTCCCATTTTCTAAGTAAATTGGAATTTCTTTTTAATTCACTGGTAAACAATCGAATGGAAAGCAGATGTAGCGCAGCGAAGCCGAGGCCCATCCTAATGCCGACTGCGAGAGCCAGAGATGCAGATGGGCCTGGGAATTATTTAAATGTCATTTCAAGGTAATTAAACGTTACAGTTTGAAGAACGCTTTGAGGTTCAAGTGCTCAGGAAAGGAGGAAAGTAAGATAAAGACGCAAGAAAAGAGCGAGCGCGGGAACGCTTCCAAGCACATCTGGGTCTCCGGGATCGCGGTTCTCAAGTTCAGCGCAAGATTGTGAAAAAGATTATTATGGAATTCATAAAATACATGTCGAACGCTTAGAAATATTACTGGGCAGATTAAAGGCGAACGCTGCTATATAACGTTATAAAGCATCTCTTGAAGTATTGGAGCGACACCCACAGAAACGCTCCTCTGGATGTGACCGTATCAGCGGATCTCGCTCACATCATGCAAACATATCTGAGACAGAATCACACCGCTGACCAATTACACTCTGATGAACTTCCTCTAAACAAACATGATGACATGTTCCTGTGCTGCTTCAGTCACATATAAACACTCCTCCTGAGAGCACAGTCTGACAACACACACACACAACGATTTAAGATGTCAAACTCAAACTGAAAGCCCTCCTAACAGACAAACTATGAGCACACGTCAGCAGAGAATGACAGAGTTTCTCTAACAGACCATCATCGACTGACTCGTCACTCAGGAGTCCAGGTGTGATCGGTCTAGTTCACCGGAGGACTCTCTTTCTTTGATATCGGGAAGAATACCGTGAACCAAACAACACTGGACCCCACTGACTTTCACTATTTGATAAAAAAACACAAAATATCTTCATTTCAAGAAAGAATGAAAGTCGTGCAGGTTTGAATGCCATGAAGGCGAGTGAACGACGACAGAATGATCCTGTTCGGACTGCAGCAGCTTTAGCGAAGAGAGATTCTTGAATGTGGTGTATAAAAGCATCTGTCAGATGCACAAATGTAAATGAGAGAGACTCATGCGATGAGTTTCACACTAAACGAATGTGAAGCCGACACAAACACTGCGGTGGGAGGAGAGGAGCGATCAGCGGGATTCTGGGAAGAATCTCTTCTACCTCTTTAATGATTCTGCTGTTTTCTGCTGTAATGAGTCTGCTCTCCTGAAACAGTCCAACACGGTGAATCACCCATCGGACGCTCATATTAAACACACACACAAAGACTGATGCATTCTGGGATCATCTGTGGAGGACACGTGATGCTGCCACAACTAACTCACCTATCTCACAAACTAGTAGTCTAGCAGGATCTCAACACAGATGAACTCTGCAGTCTGAAGCTAAAAAAATCGGAGTCTATCATACACTACGCGATTTTCTATGAAATCTGTCGACTCAAATCTGCAGACTGGCTCTGACTTTCAGCAACTCGCGTCAGCTTCTGCAGACGGTAAATCGGGGGAAAATCGTGTAGTGTATTCCAGCCTCGAGTGGTTCTGTTTCTTCTGGTGTTTATTTGCTGCTGTAACTTGTAGTAAAGAGGAAGAGATGATCGGTTCACATGAGGCTACAGTAATATGTTAATGTTTGAATCGCTTATTGTGATTATTGGATGGCAGGAGAAACAAATAATGTTTAGTGAAGTTTTGTTCACACATCACCTGAAATCCGATCTTAGCATTTATGAATCAAATATGAGTCCTCTGAACTCTACAGCTGCCCTACAGTCACTGTGAATGGATATGAATGACTGTTTCGTTAAGCCTCGAAGGACTGAGCTGCTCCATACAGCAGAATTATGCTGACTCAGTGCCAGAGGAGGACGAGCTCCTCCAGGTGAGTCTGTCTTCTCTACCTAAACATCCTATTGAGGTTTTCCTCCAGCTGCTCACTGGCGGTTAAAAGACATGCAGGCATGTTTCATCAGGGGTTTAAAGATTCAAGACACTGACACACACACAGACAAAATCACGAGTGACTGAAAATGTTCCCTTTGTAGACGGCTCAACAGGGTTTGACCAGAGTGTAGTGTCGTCTCACCGGGGTTGTGCGCGTGCTCCTGCTGCGGGAGCTGCAGTGAGATCTGCAGGAGATCAGGAGACAGGAGAGACGCCGGCTTACGGCTCCCACTCAACCAGCGGCTCGTGTGAAGATCTGTGGTGTCAGACGGACCCTGAATCAGAGGAACCAGGGGATCCTTCTGCCCCTCACACACACCCGCACACACACACACACACACACACACACACACACACACAGACACACACA